TGAGGAGTGTTGTATAAGCACTGTGCTGCTGCTCTTGAGATCATTAGTTGCTAAGAAGGCAGGAGAGAATTCATCTTGGTAAACTTTATGATATTTAGAAACTGTTTTTAAAAAAACTTAATTTCAGTGTTGCAATAGCCTATGCATCGTGGCATTAGAGTCAATAATACATTAGCAGAGCATGTGCTATTCAGCTAAGTGTGGCAGCATCTTTGCACATCTTTGTGTGTCCCGGTGTATTCCAGAATTTTCACCTTGCCAGTGTTCCTTGGAAAGAGCTTTAAGAAATAATAAGCTATTGAAGACTATTTTAGATCACTGGCTGAAATGGAGCTTGTAGGTGTACTCTATGCAAATTATTTCTTTTAAGGTATTTGTAAAGACAGAATCAAATCTTGTCTCGGAGGAATTTCACCCTAGCTTCTATCTGTCTGTGGAACTCGAGTTTTTGTTGTTTCAGTCAGTGTTTACCTAAACCTTACAAGACTAAGAAACAAGATCTTTGGAATAATGTCAGGTGGAGCCAAAGAAAGAAGACCTAAGTGTTGCAAACTGCCCCTTGGATTGAAGTGGTAACTGGATTACAGATGAGGACAGCTTTTGTCTTATTCCGTGTCCCTAGAATTATTTGCTTGTATTGTCCCTAAATGCTCTCTCTTCTCCTGTGTTAAATGGGTGTTATCGTGGCAAACTGACTACTTGTGTTAGACACCACCGTTTCTCCTACTAGTTCATAAATGTCTTGTGTTTCACTCGAGAATTATAAACAGTACACAGAGAGGTGGAATATTCAGTGCTTTCTCTGGTTCAGTCTTCAGAAGAAAGATCCGTTTAGCAGATACTTGACAAAATTAAAGAGTTGAAGACTAACAGAAGGAAAGAACAATTAAAGATTTACCTAAATTATGTGTATTCAAGCGGGCAGGACAATGGCGAAACTCACTGTGGTACTTAACCTTCAGAGACTGCAAGCTATATTCTTTTTAGGTATCTTGTGAGAGTAAGCAGAAAAGGAGCAACATAAATGCTGTATTTCTCTTTTAAAGAAGACGAAAAAAACACTTCTAGAAATAGAAACCTTCAGTTCAACTCGTGAAAGTCTTATTGCTGATTGTGGTTACTCAGATGACCTAAGAAAAAGAGGAGGGGAGCCCTCATGTGAATTTGTTGAGAATAAATCATGTCATTTTTCCATAATAAAGTGGACTTACCGAATGAAAAAAACATAGACTGATGTATTTTGACCTGAGTGAAGATTTGGACATTCTTATAAGCAAGCTAATGAAATAGGTAAAATCACCATTTTAACGGTGATAATTGCTTAAAAGAATGATACATTGTGAATGGCCCTCTCGAGCTGAGAGGGCCGATTGTCAGGCATGAGTCTGTCCCCAGCCCAGTGTTTGAATGTTTTGCTTATTTAAGACTCGGATAATTGAACAGGAATAAACTTGTAAAATTATCAGTCACTACCAGGATAAGCAGGCCAAAGAGAATCCCCAATAGTCTGGATTAACTGCAGGAGAGGTGATCTGAAATCAAGGTGGGCTATACTGAGGACAAGTACAAAAGGTGTATTTAGGAAGGTGAAATCGATTGCTGATTTAAAAGATAAATAAATAAAAAATAAAAAGCAATGGAGAGATTAGGCACCGGTATTACAGGGCGGGGTCTGGGTAGTAGTGAATCAGCAGTTAAATTAGTGACTAGTGAATCAGAATTAAATATGGGAGCACGGGGTCCATACAGGGTGCAGCCTGCTTGATATATGCCCACGCTACGTGCCGTTCACTATCTGTCAGTTCGATTGCTTGCTGTAAAGCAATATAACAAACTCGCAAGCGTTTTTTGAAGCCTACGCCATTTCGGTGATCCTGTTTACTGCAGGGCCTCACAGCCGGATTCACGCAGCTCAGGGGCAGCGTGCTGTGGCTTAATGAAATGCAGGAGGCTTTTTTTAGGCTGGCTCCATCAACAATAAGACATGTACTGGGAGCTGTTTTCAGAGCTCATGATGAGTGCATGTACCTGGCCAGCTCTGGTCAAGGAAATGGGCACCAAAGTTAACTTCAGAGCAGAAGCGGCATGCCGCAGCTCATGATGGCTGCTGAGTAACTGTTCCCAGTACCTGAAGTAGCGTCTCCAAGGTTAGCTTGGATTTTGTACGCCGTTCTGCAGGCTGCAAGAATACCTGTATGAGAGATTCAGATCTTAAGCAAGAAATAAAACTAATTGTGGAAGGTGTTAGAAGGAAAACTAGAAAACTATCTCCTAAAAGCTGGAGCATTAAACAAGGGAAACTTATTCACAGTACATTGTTCACTGGTGTCAGCACAGCTTCTGTTAGTTTTTTTTGGGGGGGGGTTTGTTGTTTTTTAGTAAAATTAAGTTAGCTTTTGAAGTCACTTTCAGTATCACTTGAGTTGTGGTGATATTTTATTCAGTTAAAGCTTATCCTTTGCAGCCAGAGTGAGATTTTTCTAGTCTGGCGAACGTGCAGAGCCTGGCTCCCTCCGGAGGCAGCAACGGGCTCTTCTGCCCAGGCCCCCTTTAGCGTGTGTGGCGCAGTGCTGGGTTTTGTACACAAGGTGGCGGTGGAAGTTGTGTGTATAAAACTTAAAAGCAGCTTAGAGCCTGTTAACCTCTCTCCAGCTATTACGAGTCCCTTGATTCTAAGATTTTATTTTAAAGGGATGATTGGACCCGCAGTGTTCTTAGTAGCGGCTGGCTTCATAGGCTGCAACTATATGCTGGCTGTGGCATTCGTGACCATATCAACAACACTAGGAGGATTTTGTACATCTGGTTACAGCATCAACCATCTGGACATAGCACCGTCGTAAGTATTGCTGGAGTATTATTAGTGCTTGCGATACTCTTATGACCACCTTTCTGTATTGCTGAGGTGTCTGGGAGCCTTAGAGGTGAGCCATGGTATGTTGCTAAATACTCTTAAATTAAGTCAGATCCTGAGGCTCTCAAATCAAGCATCCAGTCGGAGTATATGTTCTTGGCCTGTGTTTTCATCCCATATTTATGGGATGGGTACCATATTGTCATCTCATCCCTCAAGAGTGTTGTGAAAATAAAGTAATATCTGTGAAGAGTTCCGCTGGAAAGCTGTTGGGATGATTACAGTTCTGCTTGTAATAATTGAATAGTATGCAGAAAGTAAGGCCTGGGCCCATATACTGAGCGACTAGAGTGAAACAAAATACTAAATAGTGCTCAGTGAGCACAATCCATCCTATGCTCTGAGTGCAATAGAGCTGTAACCGGAAAAAGGAAATCATGCAGCTGCAGCGTGCATCTCATGAGGCATATCCACAAGCAAATGTTTTGCATGCAGGTGACAACCGAGGTTTCCAGGTTCCGGATGGTGCGTGTGTGTTTTAACTGGGGAGGTGTTTCACTTTGCAGTCTTAATATGTTTCTTTCAGGGGGGATTTTGTATCTAATAATGCACGTAATATCTTAGGTGTTTAAAAAAAGCACAAGGAAAAAAAAAAAAATCATGTGGTGTGGCACTGATGCTTCCGTATCAGCCACGCAGGCTAATTAGCTTCACCACATGGACTGCTGCTGTTTCCCCTGACCACATCCCACTCTGTTCTTCATACCCTCCCCCAAGTGCTGGTTTTATTCCTTTTGCATTTAAATCAGACAAGTTCTTTCACCCCTTCTCTCCTCCTACATATGGAAAAAGGAGCAGACTGATTGCAAGTGCAAGAGAGGCAGGTGTCTTGCTCTCGCTTCAGGAATTTTGGCCCAGCATGGCCTGTAGAGATGAATGGCTGCACCTGCAGGAAAAATTTCTTGGGCTGGCATATGCTCAGGGTGGATGCTGTTTTACTGAAAACAGTGACTCTCTATTCAGCATATGCAAGCTTTAATTCGGGGAACATCGGTCCCAACGGAGACAGAGAAGGAAAAGGGAATGTACTTGTCACAAAGGTCCTACAGAAAATTGTCTCCAAATACAGAATTACCAGAACATCTAATAAAAGAGCAAAGTCTTCTTTCCCCCCCCAGTTTAGGTTTTTGGAACTATCTAACTCTTACGGCTGAGATGGCCCAGGCAGACTTCCACAATTTCAAGGAAAAATTTGGCATAATTGTAAAACGGTTGAGAACAGTCGCTGCAGAAAAGTCTGAAGGAATCCTCTGCTGAGAATTGACTCAGTCTGACTTTCTTTTTTCTGTCTGAGAGACATAAGACTAACCAGAAGTGATTCAAAGCAATTCTATGATGCGTTTACATGCCCCTTGTAATTGGGCGAGAGTATGCTGATTAGAATAGCAAAGGGCCCCTTGTTGCTACTAAAACTTGCGTTATGCCAAAGAAATAATGTTTATGTTCCCATGAAAAAGTGAATGAAAATACTGATATTGAAGAGGGAAAAATAACTGCTGTATGTTTTTAGTTTATAACACACATTTGTTGTGCTATCAGTGCACTGAGTTGTGGGCGGCAGACGAGATTGTTCTTGTGTGGGAAATGTATTCCAGTCTAGCTCTTAAAAAATTATGGCAGCATATTGTTTTAAATTTAAGTATGTCACAATGAGGCTTTATATTATTTCTTTGGCTCTGTTATGTGCTATATACTTCACGTATCTGCTCTTGTAGTCCTGATTTTGCTTTGTAACTACCCTGAAAGTCCTTTTGTATTCACTCATACCTACAATGTCATAAGAACCTGACCAACAGATTGCTAATTAGTCTTGCTCTACAGATATGTCATTATTTACTTTCATATTTCATACAGGAGCCTCCGCTATGCTGAGGGAGTGGCATAGCTGCTATCTCTATCAGACACTGAGCTTTATCAAGAATGCACCCATGTCAGGAACAGTAGGCAAAACGAGAGGCGTTTGGCCAGCAATGAATTGTCAAAGATCTCTGGGGACCAGAGAAACTACTGAACTGTTAATTTTGAAAGTGTATATTAACAGCATTGTAGTGCTTAAACAGGCTGTTGAAGACAAAATACGTTTATTTCTATTTAAAGCCTTTAAATGGAGTCTTACTGTATGCTTATCTGACTGAGGAAGCTTTTACACTTTCACATTCAGCTTCATGGAGGCCTTTTAAATTGTAAGCATTTCCAGGATACGAAAGGGATATAAATGCTACGTGCTTGATATGCAAGAAAAAAGGATTGTTGTAATTACAGCAGTGAAGTTCAGTCTAAAATACATTGCCATACTTTGAACTGATGTGTGTGTTGACTTCCAAGAAAAATCAACTAATAGGTTTAATAATTTTCTGAGGAACACCACATTTTCCTAATCTTACTGGACTGAATGCACATAGCACAACCTTTTATAGCAATGATGTGGTTGCATTCTCCTGTTTTAATAAATGTAAATAGTCAAAAAGTCTTTAGAGACATAATTATATTTTTCTTATTATGTTGTCATTGTTAAAATAGATGAGGACAAAATTGCACTTTGCTGAACGGCCCAAAGTGATCACTGGGAGATAAGTCCTTTCTCCTCCAGTAAACAACAGCTGGTCTTAATGTTTTGTGTGATTCTTCAGCCAGGAGGTTCAGTCTGAAAAGCTGAACTGCAGGGATCTGTGCTCTGGTGGTTGGAAGGCTGAGCTCAGATGTAAAAAGTTGAGGTCTCATTTCTCTTCAGTGTCTTTCCCAAGTCGGTGCTTGTGGTGCAGTCTCAAACATGATTTCTTTTTTTGTCTCACAGTACTCCTGTGAGGTGTTTAACTGTCCACGGATGAGACGCTGAGGCTCAGATGTTAAGCAAGTTACCGGGTTCTCCCAGCAGGTTTTTATGGCTGCTGGGAGGGGTGTGTGTGTGTGTAACAGAGGTACACATTCATGGAATCGGAAGCCTCAGAGTGGAAATGCAAGAATAGCAACCAGTAGAAGGGGTTAAGCCAGGCCCGTTCCCCATTGGCGTTTAAGGCCCTGACCCAGAGAAAGCTGAGGGGAAGGACTGCTGCAGAGCTCTGCTAACTCAGGCCTTTGGAACTTGCTCTGTAGTGTGAGTGGGGATATCCATCCAGACTAGTGATACTGCCTTCTTGGCAGATACTTTTTAGCAATGATATCTGAACCATCTCTTGCTGTTGCCAGACAGCACTCTGTCATGCTCCTTGTTGCCTTTTCACTTCAAGGCATGCAGTGTTTCTTTTCTAATTTCTCCAGTGGATCCGTTCCAGAGAGTTTGGTTGCGGCTTAGCTAAGGGGATGTGGTTTTGGATTATGGGTCCTAAGCAAAGCTGTGAGTAGTTAATTCATGCTAAATTATGTAACTGGCCTCTGGAGAACATGAGCGTGTATTGAGTTGTCACTGAGTTTCTGTTAGATAAGTGCAACTGATTCCCACTTGTACATTCGTGTGATCAAGATGAGGCTTGTGTGATCTGATTAGGCAAAATTGCTTCCATGGCTGATAAGCAGGATAAGTTTAATAAGCAGTGCGAACAATTTCTCCTACAGGTATGCTGGAATCCTCCTTGGAATCACAAATTCATTTGCCACCATCCCAGGAATGGTGGGGCCAGTTATTGCCAAGAACCTCACTCATAATGTGAGTCTATTTTCTATTTTTTCCATCGCTCTATTTTATATACTCTCTTGAATGGGAATAAGGTAAAATCAAAGACCTGTGTAGGGCTTTAGAATTTTAGTGACTCAGCCCTTGTATCCTCTCAGGAGGAAAACTTGCACGTTGTTAGCACGTGTCAGAATTCTATTAAAATTCCAACTAGACGACACAGCTGTAATATTGTTTTATCAAATTAAGACAGGCCCTTCCATATTTTTTCTAAAATCAGTTTCCCAAATACACTGTTGAGTTGCAAGGTCAGCATTTGTCATATCAACAAGAAACTAGATTCAAACCTATGGGTTTCATAGTGCACCGCTCTGTGTGTACGTTACAGGATCAGAACGTTCTAACCTATGTTAGTTTCCCAAGAGCTAAACTGAACAGTAAGCGTTAAATTTTACCTCAAACGGTTTAATCTCACAGAAAGTGTGACTTGCAGTTTTTTGTTTGAAAGGATGGAAGGGAGGAAAGGAGTTGTTTGCTTGCTTTTTAAATCAACTATAAGCGTTATTAAATATTGTAGGGAATGAAAATGGGAGGAGCAAGTTTACTGATACAATTGAATTGCTGCTGTTTGTGATCCCTCTGGTCATTCTCTTAAATAATATGAAAATATTAGCTAATGCATAAATCCAAACAAATTAGCTTCTTCAAGGCACGTTTTAATGATTCTTCTCCACCTCACCCCAACGTGAATGTACTGTTCTAGTGTTGTCCTCTTTTCTTAGTAAGATCATATATAGATTTGTTACAGTAGTCATCTACAATTTAAAAAAAAAAAAAACCTTAAAACATCTGCATGTATTATTTCTTCATTTAAAAAAAAAAAAAAAAAAGCCTACATGTCTTCAAGCTTTTCTTACAAAAAACGTCAGAGTTCAAAAGATCGTCATTGAAATCTGAGGAAAGATAAGTACCTTGTTTGGGCTAATTCACATATGGCTAAAATGCTAATGCGTCTGGAAGTCATTAAAATTAGCTTATTGCTTAGTATAGGGAGAACTTCTGCTCTCGAGTCAGCTGACCTGAAAGCCATGTAGCGTTTTCCGTTAACCTAATGTTCTCTGTGTGCCTGTGTAGTCTTCATGCAAATCTGAATTTGGGTATGAAAGTTGTGCATCTGAGGTGATAAACTGATCCAGCTTGTCTAATGTAATCCTAATGGGACTGTCTGTGTATGCTGGGTTATTAAACTGAAGTTGACTAAACTGGCAATTTGATCTTTTATGTTTATAGTGCTTTTATGTCAATATGAAATCATGCTATATAGCTTTTACATTTAAATAGGCAAGCCATGTAGGATCTATTTTAGAAATAACTTTTTCTTTAGTGTGGAGCTGCAAATTGACTGCATCTTTCCCCCCGCCCCCCCGCCCCTTCTTTTTACAGAATACTGTGGGAGAATGGCAGACTGTTTTCTATATAGCTGCTTCTATTAATTTATTTGGAGCAATTTTCTTTGCATTATTTGGAAGTGGAGAAGTTCAGGACTGGGCAGTCAGTGGTTATCACTTGCACAGAAACTGAAGGAGACGTTGAAATACCCAAGCTGTGCTGAATCCCCGCGTGCTAGAATTATGTGACCGGAAAAGTGCCTTTCCTACTGATGCCTAAGAGTCTTCAGAGCTTTTCAGTTTAACTGTTTTATCTGTGTATCTTTTTGTACTGGAAATCATTGACAGCATATGTATGTTATTTCCTAACAAGAAACTACTTGAATTAAATAGAATGGCTTCATGTTAGGACTTGATATCAAATGTATGATCAGAGAATTAACATTTTAAATTGATGTGCTAGGCTCAATTTCCTTCCAGATTTTAATGAAAATTTTCTGAAGTAATGTGTAGGAGGATGTTTGCTAATACTGAAATGAGAGGGAAAAAAGTGATTGTGCGGCAGCATGAGGAGGAATGGAATGCAAAGAACTGAACGTGAAAAGCAGTGTTTTGGTTTCCATGATAAGATTGATAATGTTTTTTGTTTAAATGTCCAGAAAATTTCTAGTTTTCTACAGTCTTTTATAATTCTTTTATTTTTGTCAGTGTTTTAATTGAAGCCTAAAGAAATGCACAGATGGCTTTATTCTATTTTATGCACAACGTTTCAAGATATAAATATTCACTGTTTCAAGAATGCGGCTTCACAATCGATCTAGAGCAATGAGGAAGTAAAATGTATGGTTGTGACTGACGGAGTAAGCCATGTGTTGCTGTTCTCTGTGGTGCAGGTTTTTTAAATAGGCCTTACTTTATATTCCTCTGTGCAATTGAAGACGTGGTGCAAATATGTGGTTTAAATCTAAGCGGTGTAAAGAGTGAACTAGAAATAGAATGTCTGGATGTTTACATTAACATAACTTTCAATGTGGCAGTGCAATTTTGGCTGTTAATTGATACGGTGGAATTTTTTCCTCTTGCATGTAGATGTATATGTCAGCTTGTCGGTGTAAATGCAATAAAATAAGGCCGGTGTAGGGCATAATGAAGAAAATTAGTTCTATAACAGCCTTGCTAGATAAAAGTAGAATAAAAAGAACTAGTGCAATATCCTGATGCTGCTGTTCTCCTATCAGCATAGAATTTGACACTCGAGCATCCTTGGCACAACATGCAGTTGAGTGCCACACAGTAGGATTAAATGAAGTCTGTGAAAACAGTGGCCTAGTTGAGAATGAACAGCTGAATAATCTTGTCACAAAGCAAAGGAAAATTCCCATGCCAAAGATTCCTGGATTGGAGCAATTCGGTAAAAAACACTTTAAAAAAACTTTAAAAAGAAAAAATTAAAAAACCTGCGCTCCGGGTTTCCCACATGCCACCAATTCAAAAGAAAAACCCAGTACTGAAGCTGCTCCAGTGGAGCCTACCTTCCTTCATTTCTAGGAAATGGCATCCGCCTCTTACTAGCTTTAAGAGCCGTATTGTTTTGACCTTCATTGTTGTGTCGTGTTCTTTGATTGGTGGAAGTGTGTTTAAATCTGGGTTTGTGTCTGCAGCATTTCCACAATAAATGATGCAAAATTCAGATGAAATTAAGTTGTTCAGTGGGAGTATGTTAAAGCTATGTTGTCTCCTGTGTTTCCACAATAAATGGAATGAATATTTACATGTGCAGTAGTTGTTGAAAAGGATCATCTCCTAGAAGTTAGGACACAATCCTCTAAGTATGCTGAAGAAGATTGTTGACTGGATTAAGGGATGGCTAATGGTTTCCAGAAAACTGCTTCATCAGCTTCTTAATCTAGCTTTACAGGTGAGTAGCATCTTACACCTGACACTATATTAAAGGAATAGTTTCACTTTGTGTCTAGAGATTTGTATTCTTTTAGTAGTCTTGTTTTTAAAAAAAAAAAAAAAAGTTTTTGGATATATATTGAATTAATTAACTCCTCTGCTCTTCTGCTCTTCTAGCGGTCACGAGTGGGGCAACATACAGACAGGATTTCTGTTTTGACTGTTCTGAAGTTGAAACTTCAACTTCTCTTACTTCCAGTCTTTTCTATTGAAAACACTCAAATTGAATTTCAAAAGAAAAATGCATATTTAAGGGAGCAGATGTAGTAGATGTGGACATTCTGTGTATCACTGAAATAAACCTGAGTTAGAGCCAGTTAAACTGAAGCAATTTTATGCATATCAGGCAGACCGAGCAGTCCAGGAATTTCTGACCTGGAAACCAGATTTTGTTTTTATTCATCTAATGCATCATTAATTCTTTTGTTGTGTACTGTGTTACTCCTAAGTGAGTTTGTGCAGAAAGGGGGACTGAAAAAAATGTCTATAAATCTTGATACTTCTAAACAACAGGTTAGACTTAACCTGATTGGAAATAATTATTTCCAATCTGATTTTAAAACAATCAGAACACCGGATGGGATTCTTGCTCCCAGTCCATCAAAGCTCTTAAACACTTAGCAGTTCTACCTTTCTTGCATCATGCTCACACAAAAGGAAAATCTGTAGGAAAATGCTGTCAAAATTATTTCTGCTAATCATCTTTTTTTTATTACTTTGCCATGTTCATGTTCACACATCTGTCAGTCAGTTTCATCTCTACTTAGAAATATTTCTCATGTTGTGTGTTTTCAGAAGTGACAGTGGTTTTGAGTATCTCTGTTGTCAGCTCACCCACGTGAGATGGGGTCTTGATTAAAACTGGGCGCGTATTTTGGTTACTGTTTTTTTTTTTTTTTTAAACTGAAAATAACACTTTTGATTGTTGTTTTATGCTGAATTTCCTGCACAGATTTGCCAGAGTAAGAAGCTGTGTCCTCCTTTTCCATGAGGAACCCTCTGATTAGGATGTCCACCTGGAATGTGAGAAGTCAAGAGTTCAAAACCAGTTTTTGCCCATTTCGGAGCAGTAGTTGAATCACTGCTTGGGAGCATGTCTTAATGTTGCAAGTTTTTGGGGTTTTTTTTTTAAGTGCATTGTCCTCGATGTCTTTTGACATCATTCTGCTTTTCCACAGAATATCTAAACATTTTTTGGAATGTTGAGTGCAAAGTCCTGCATCATTAATAACAGAGGTGGAGTAACTGTTAGCAGAATATCCTATAGCAGTTGTCAGTCAGACCCCTTAAAGAAGCCTTGAGTGTCTGACACCCAAAACTATTAGTTAATTTATGCAGGATTTTTTAAAGTACTGAAATAATGAAGGTTTACATAACTCTACATAACATACACGCATCAGTGCGTCTTCCCTATCTACGCGTTCCTCCGTAACTAGCCAGGGCTGCGTGCTGCACGGAAGGGTCATCTTCGTTCCTTTCCCAGAAGTTGAATTGTTCTTTGAATATATCTTTCTCTGGCTGCTGTTCTCAGTTACTTATTTACTCGTTTGCGAGTTCCTCCCCTCCTTTCTGGCAATATTTGAATCCATGATAAATGGACTAACCTTTGAGTCTAATAGGCTTTCCAATATTTTTAGCCTTTGTCAGGAAGGAAAGGTGTAGGTGAAGAAGCCTACACGTTATGAAGGTAAGTGAGGAAGAAGTCTGTATGGAAAGGTAGTCTCTTCTATTAAATCCTTTCTAGCTTCTGGGAAAAACGGACATGGCTTTTAAACTTCGAGCTGCCTCTTTTGCGTTATTAGCTCAACCATTACAACTAGGACAGTGCTAGTGTGTTTTCAAAGCTGTCTCTTATAGTGACTGGAATCTTAAGAGGGTCTCCTGTGTACCTCTGTCTCAGAACGCCCCATATCTGCTCTTACATCGTGTCTCTCCAAATTCTCTCTCTCAAACAGCTGTTGTTGCCTGGCTGAGTCCTGTTCTGAGACCCATCAGTAAAGATGCAGTCTCTGTTAGTACGAGGACGCTGGCTTGTGTTATACTTAAGAAGATATATCTGATCTGAAGTTAAGGGAATGATCTCATTTGCCATGAATGATTTCGTATTATCATAAACTGCTATTACTGTGTTAGCTGCGAGGAAATAGTTATATTAGCAGTACTGTGTTTACTAACAGCGAAGAAGATCCTGAATTTTGCCAGCTGTTCAGATATGAAGCTTCATAGGAGGGGTGTGTGTGTATATTTATATATTCAAATATCAGAAGCAGCCTTTCATATCTTTGCTAATACGCAGCGCGCTAGTGATGTTCTGTTTTCTGTTTTTTCTCTGTGTTCACAGAAAATACTCATCCTCTTTCTTCTGCCATTTAAAAATACTCCTTCTGCTTCTCCAGGGTGCTCACGACTTCCAGGAAGAGTTGACACGGATTCTCATTGTTGTATTTGGGGGGATGGTGGGGTTATGCCATCCTTTTTCTTTTTTTGTATTAATATCAATCAGAATTGTGCCATCATAAGAAGTAAAGGAGAACCTTGCGGGGATAAGAACTTAAGAAACAGAAGTTAGTTGGCCAGATGACAGTCTCTTTTCTATAAAGATAAGTAATGAGCCGTTTTTTTTAAACTGCACTTATTTAATCCAACAAATCGGATTGTGCTTTAGTCAAATCAAAGCTTTACTGATTTGATTTTCAAGTAAGTGGTCTATTTCTTGAGTTGCTCTAGGTTTTGTACATGTTTATGTTGCTACGGTTTTATAGCGCTAGTTTTTAGCGAAGTCTACCTTGATAGGCAGTTAAAAGCTCATGTGCCATACTGTGAAATGGGTTAGGCACGTTTCCAGTTCTGCTGCCTTTGCTTCCACCAAATCTGCAGAGAGGTGCAGCAGGTGGGCATTATTGAGTGGAAATGCCTAAAGCTGCCCCACTGGATTTTCTGAACTCTTGAGTTGTTTCCTGTGCTGTTATCTTATCACCAGGGAGTCCTTTCCACAGTTACTGCAGTGTATCCTCCCCCACCCCCAAATATATATTTGGGGCAAGAGAGGTAAGAGGCATTTACCAATAACTGAAGTTGCAAAGGGAATTTAGACCAGAGCTATTCAAAGTAGTGCTCAGCTAGCTGTGAGGACTAACACCTTTTTTCCAGGAAATAAGGCTGGAGAGTCTTTCAGTGACCACAGTCACCACAGACTTTCCATCCACTTTTCCTAAAGCAGCTAGAGCAACTGTCATTTCATTCATAGTAGCTATATATTAGTTAACGGTATTGCTTGCATTTCAGGTCGTGTTCAGGGGCCCCACTGGGTTAGAGCTCATTCAGAAGTGGGAGGTACACGTCACGTTCCCTTCATGGAAGGGAGTGTTTATGCAAACTCTACCTGCTGGTCTTTTCAGAGAGTTGTCACTGAGGCTCTGGTTTGGCCTAACTCTCCTGCGCTTCTAAATTCTCTGAAGGAAATATTTCATGCTGATGCACAGCCTTGTTGAGTTTATATTACTCAGAAAAGTTTATGTTCTCTCTTTGCAGATTTTAAAGTAAATGAATGCAACATTAAAGAAGAATGCCTATTTAATGCTTCGCTCATGTAACAGTTACTAATACTTCTGTAGTTCTGTATTTAATGAGCTGTAAGTTGTTTATGATTCTAAAAGTAGCTTAAATAAGAGTTCATTTATTTTATGTGATATGTACATAATCTGCAAAAGTCATTCATGCCACATCTAGTATGAGTGAAACAATGAGTTTTTATTTATTTTTATATATTTTTGTATGCCTTTATATTTATTTGAATTTCTTTCTCTTCCCCCAGTAAAGTTGCATATAGCCCTATTAACTGTTTTAAGTCAGGCTGTTAGTTTATTAACATTTTTGTAAGATTCAAATAGTCAGAAAAGGAACTGCAAGAAGACACCAGCAGTTATTTATATGTCCAGTGGCATAGCAAATGGGGGGCACAAAGACGTACCAGATCATAAAAATGTGTGATCAACCACATTATGGCCGCAGAGGCAGAATTTTATGAAGAAGGGGAAGGGTTGCGATGGTGACTTAATGGGGAGGGTCTCCGGTTTCTTACGCAAGGCTGCGTGGTATGGTGTTTTTTTTGTTTGGGTGGTTTTGTGGTGGTGGTGGTGGTGGTGGTTTTTTTTTTTTAAACTAAAACTGCACTGACTCAAAGACACAGAAATGAGTTAATTTCAGCAGGTTTCTATTGTGTGTAAAACAACTGATCTGATTTACGGTAACACTTAATAAAGTGTTGGAAGTTCAAATACAGATCTGGCTAAAGTAGTAAGAGTCACAACTCAATCTAGGGAAAATTGCGTTTCTATGAAGAAGTTATTTCCATGAAAAATATTAACTGTCCAGCCATATAAGTTGAGCAGGACTGTCCTGAAAGAGCTGCACATGTTGTTTTTGAGAAGTAACTTTCCCTATCCTTCTTAAGCTCCAAAATTGCTGAACTGATTTTGCTTCTCAATAGCGTACTTGGTGGTAATTCCGCACTGGCTGAATTCAGGCCTGGATCAGACACACAAGAAGAAAAATCAAGTAACTGAGTGACTGAAAAGAACGTTGAGATACACATATGCATTCTCAAACAAGTGTAGTATGAATTCGGAATAATGGAAATTTTGTGCTTGATGCAACATAATGTGTAGAAGGCTGCAGCTAATTGCAAAAGATGGTGCCTGGATGTTGCCCAAGGCCTAGCAGTGGAAAGAAAGCGTGGCTCACTAAGCCAAATTTCTTTTTGCCTTCCCCTCCCTTTTAAAGGATATCAGCTTGTTATTGAGGAGAGCTGTGTGAAGAATGGTAGTAGTACTTCATAAAGCATTTTAAAATTCGGATTGCAATTTCATGAAAGGAATTTTTTTCATTTAATTTCTTTTGTAGTATACAAAAGTTTCTGTATGTCTACTTCAGAAAAGGGAAATAATATATTCATGTTTGATCTCTTCCTAAATTAAATTCCAGTGTAAAGGCTTAAATTCAGTCCGGCTAGACTTTGATATTGTCACACTGTCTAATGGAGCGTATGGTTCTGTTGATGTTTTTCTGACCATCTCTTCTGCTGATGCATTCCAGCAGTAAATGACTAATCTTTTCTTTCTGAATCATCTTACTAGCTGAGAAGACAGCCAGTGTGTGGTGTGTTTTTGTTTTTACTTTTGATTTTGTTTTTTAAACCCCCATCTTTCTCCCACTCTTTTTCCCTGGCCATCTGGGCTTTTCAGAGAATAAGAAATGACAAGTGTTTTCTGCATCTGCAAGTTTAAACAGTCTCTTAAACAGAAGGAAAGAAGCGCTTTCCGCGTATTCATAAAAAGGAGAATAAGCAGAAGCCCTGCAATAACTGAAGTCTGCCAGCACTTTAGGAAAAATACAATATCCTAAAAATTACGAGTAGTTTTTGTCAGAATGTGATGATATGAAGAGAGCCAGTGCCATCTTTAAAAGGAAACTGAAATGGAGCATATCTTGCGGCTGAACTCAAGACCTAATTCTGCCAGTTCCACTGAGTGGTAAGTAGCTCTAATGGCATTATTTAAGCAAAAGCACTTCAACTGACATCTGAATGGAAAGATAGGGAGGGAGAAATGGAAAGGAGGTCAGTTCCGTTAATAACACCAAAAATAATTTTCTTCTGAATGGTCGTAAAACTGAACTGCATGCTACAAAACATAGTCACTAAATAAAATTTGGTTTTGACTTGACTAACTTACGATGCTTTCAAATTTGCATGCTATGCATGGTCAGCACACTTTGCATGGTTGTTTTGTTCAACTGGGAAAGTATGTAGTAGCTTTGAAGCGGGGGGAGGGTGAGTTTTGCCACCCATTGAGGAGGAGGTGATGTATTACTCTGCATAAATACAATGGAAAACTGAGCCCTTAGTGATTGCAGAGGAATTATTTGCCAGAGTGATTTGCCCACATGTCTGTCTCAGCTATTACCTTCATTATCACTAGCGTTTATTTTGTGCAGTTGAGCACTGCTTCTGCAGGCCTGATCAACCTATTGATGGGTGTTTTGTTTTGTTTTTTTAAAGGATCTGTAACTGTACTTTCTGTAAGCTGCACTGTCAGTTCCTTGGGAATGGTTATGGAAAAGCGTAATGTCTTGTCCTGATTTTTTTTTTTTTTTCCACTGGTGCAGTCATCTGTTATTTCAGATTGAGCTGCACATATTTTGGAATCTCCTTCCCATGCTGTGTTACTTTTACGAGTATTTTCTGTTAGGAAAAGATCCTCTGATTAAAGGCTTTTGTGTGAAGAGAATGAGAAATCGAAATATTTCTCATAGATGTTTGACTTAATAGATAGCTGATAGAATTGCTAAGCACCTCTGCGGTGCTGAAAATAGGCAAATAGAAGATATACATAGCAGTGGAGAAGGAAAAGATTGTGGAAAAATATTCCCACAGGTATGGGATGTTAATTTAATCTTTACACAGAGTCCTGCTGATGTCAATAGTACTTTGAGCAGCGGTTGAGAGCTAAGCGTCTTTTCGAGTATTTTGCTGTAGCAGGACCTAAACTCAGGTCTGCAAAGGAGACAGTGTGTGGCAAAGTCGTGTTGCCGTGCATAACTGCTAAAGTGCATCTTTCCAGTATGAGAACGCATAGCTCTCTCAGATGCTTACACTTTCCCTGCTGTGGGAGAGGCAGGTTCGAATTCCCACAGGTAGAGGGTGGAATTCAGCCTAGATCCACCTTCTATCACAGAGGGGGGGAAAAAAAGAATTAGCTCCCCCTCTTTTGTTTTAATAGAGAAGAGGGGCAGCTTGGGTTTCATGAGCAGCGCACCCTGCCAATCCTTTTATCCTCAAGAGCTGAGCATATGAACTCCTTGTGGTGCTGCGGAAGGTTTGGGAAGAAAACAGAGCTACCAAACCGCCATGTATTGAAGGTTTGGGTAGTTGCATGTGTGCAGCCAGCAGCTGAATCTTAGGAACTGGAGAGCTTTAGTGTGAAAAATGGACATATTTGGGCAGAACTCTCTCTAATGCTGGACAACAGCTGAATTTTTTGACTACCACTGCCAAAACGTGCAAAATATGTTAGCTTAAGGTTAGATGTAATAGGTATCCGTAACTTTGCGTGTGTTGCTACAGTTTCTGCATTCGAAGTATCTCTTTTTACTGGAAGAGCTGTGCTGTGGAAAATCAACCCACAGCAGTCTTGCTCAGTCAGTCTGAGAACGGACTGAAGTCACAAGCAGCACGAGCTGTGATTCCTCCCCTAAGTCTCCTCCTAACAGTGCTAACTTCAAAGGTTGCTTTTGACCATTGAAATACCAACTGTATTAAACAAGTGGTCAGAACTCAAGCAACCAGTTTGAATTGCTGAAACTCGATTAAAAGTACCAGCTGGCATCACTTCCGACTGAGAATCCAGTGCAAAAAAACAGGCCAAACAAAATTCCAGTCTAAACCCAGCTGTGCTTCCACTCAGTGAACGCTCAATACTATGTGTGTTGCTTTGAAGCCCAGATGAAAGTTTCACTGTTCAGCGAATGTCAGTGATGTGTACACTTTCACAAGGGCAGATGTCTTCCTACCGAAAGGGAGGGGGGGGGGAAAAAGTCTCTCCACCGATTTCCTCTTCCACATGTCTGTTCTAATTCTTTTGAATCACAAAATGTGAGCGCCAGGCGGCGGTTTGCACAGAGGGATGGTTAATACACTGCTCGCGTTGTTGTGAGGAGGCCGCTGTTAGACTTGTATCTTTTGAGCTGAGTCATGAAGTGTGACTATGTGGTTGTACACATTGCTTTGTCTCAGTGCACTAGGCAAGGAGACGGCTGCTCAGAGCAGCTATCCCAGGCCGAGAGAAAACACAAAAGCAGGGATTTGGAGTGCGTTAGCAGGCACTGCTGAGCTGGTGCATGCTTCTGCAACCGTGCAGAGCCAGGGCAGGCCCCTGCGTGGCAGCAAGGTCCTAGCACCACCGCCACCCCTCTCCAACGAACCACCCCATAGGCACTTCACCGATGTATAAGGAAAGCCCAGAGGACAACGCAGATAAGGCAGCATAAGAATTCAAAGCACTTGAATTGAAAAGATTTTCTCTTAATACTCTTATTCTCTGCTGAAATACTGATCTTTCAAAAATCTCAAGATCGGCAAGTCAAAACAATAAAGATTATTTTCACTCTTCATATACTGCCTTTACTGCACTTGGTTTTGATCTGGGAACTACTCTTAAGTGTTCTTCCAAACCTTCCCAAACAGGCCTCAGTTTTGCTGCAAACTCTTTGTGGTCTCTCCACCTCTGCATGCAGTTTATTTGAAATCACTGCCTCCAGCTGTAATTGTGTCCTAGAGCCTTTGCTTTAAATGAAAATGGCTTCAAGCTGAACTCTAACCCCTATTATCATCCTGCAAAGGAAAGAGGCCCAGTGGTAGTTCTGCTTCTGTAAAGGTTTGAGTAGACCTACTTGACTCTGTTGGAGTGAAAAATGACCTGAAATAGGTAGGCACAAATGTTTTGGCTAGCAATGCATTAATGGTTTCATAATAAAGTATGAATAGCTAGTCTGTGTGTCCCATACTTTCCATCTAAGGGACTTCAAACACTTCCTAGATACCTTGGCGTTATATTGCGTTATTGCCTTTGTTCATAAGTTAGCGTACCAGAGAGAACGGCTGAGAGGAAACTTGTTTGGGGGGGGGGGGGGGGGGAGGAGTGGAAGGGGCACTTGGAGAATAGGAACGAGTCCTGAGAGTGACTTGCTACTCTTCAAAACACACATACCATGCAAAGGCAGAGCTGCTGCTCCAAACCTTTTGAAAGGTCAGCGATGGGCTCATTGTTAGATTAGCAGCGTTCAGTGCTTTCAGTCCTAGACAGCTGAGTTGAGAGAAAACCGTTAATCTTCACATTTTTCTTTGTCAGGCTAAATATACAATTTGGTTCTGTTGTGGAAGGTTCTCACACCTAGAAAATAGGTAGTGCAGGAGGGGAGCCAAAAACTAAACACTGGATCTTTTTTTTTTTTTGGAAAGCACAAATGGAGGCTTTGAAGGTGGGAGGCTCTGCCACCACAACAACTAGTGGTGCAGGGAAGGGATTCCAGCCCCTCAGTAACGCTTTCTCCAGCAAAAGTGTTTGACGAGTGCGTTTTCAGTTATGTGCTTACAATCAGTTTTGTGCTTTATATATAAGCTAAGATAAGAATGACAGGCTTGTTAAGAATATCAGTATGATGCCAGTCTAGTTTTTTGGTTAAATGATAGATTGGCAGCCACGTAATTGATTTCCAGTATAGTCTAAATCTGCTATTTCGAAAACGAAAATAGTGCCCAAACTCTGACCTTTTCTGTACAGTATGTGAATCAATCATTTGACTTTTCACAATAACTAGATACTTTATTCTAAATGAAAAGTCAAATGATTGATTCACAATAACTAGATACTTTATTCTAAAAGTCCACACATTGCAACTGGGCTTTAAATTTTGAAATACTTAAAGGCAAGGTCGTAACAAGCAGTCTCCTCAATAAGCTCACTTTCAAAATAAAACTCAATGATGGAAGTGTAAAATACTAGGAGACAAGCAGGTGTAGGTACAAAGATTAGACAGTTTTGCTTAACAGGGAGGAGGGAATTGAAAGAGGAAAGATTGTGTATTGCAGGGAGTACTGCTCATAGCAGTTCCCAATGGAGGTGAGTTGTCTGTAGAGTTTCTGTAGATTGATGACTTCTGAGGGCAAAAGATGAATTTCTTCTGGTTAATTTTCCTTGTTTGTTGGTGGCCGCGCTTCCTGTCATTTTATTCCACCAAGCTCTGGAGGTGAAAAGCTTAAAATTGCTACATTTGTGCCTGGCTCTATATTAACATCTGCATTTGATCTCACTTTCACTGAAATCAGTGACTTCCTGGTAAGCAGGGCTTTACTCAGTGCTATGCTTATTTTTTTTGTTTTTTTTTTCCTTCTGTCTGATTGAAAAGATGCTCTCAGGAGGCTTACTTTATGTGTATTACCTCTTTGTTTGTTTTATTCTCAGTTTTTATTCTCTTATATTCTCAACAAGCGTAACACCATGGTTAAAAACTATACGTGCTACAAGTAAACCACAAAAGATGTTTTACTGATAAATGTCTTGCATCTCCAACTGCGGTAATAGGAAGCCTGCTTGTAATTCACCCATTGAGGATTTTGTGTTTATTTTTAAAGGCTCTGACAGGCGCATGTTAGAGGGTAGCTGAGAAGTGTATATCGAGGCTCTTTTTTTTTTTTTTTTTAAAAAAAAAAACAAAACCCTTGTAGATACTTCTGGACTGAGACCTGCCTGGCATGCTGTAAGAAATACAGTATTATAAATCATGCTGTCCTACTTAATGACTATGGCTTACTCTTGGAAATACAGTTCTACTGCTGCTTGGATGGTAGCTGGAGTGATTTTAGTGCTGTTGAGAACAGCAGGGTAGACTGACCTGCATGCGGGAAGCAACATGATTCTCTTGCCTCTTACCACTGTAGCAATATGGAGGGTTTCTGAGACAGCAAATAAGAAAT